GGGTTCTATCCCCCCTACTGTGGAACGTCGTGCTAAACGAATTCCTGCTTCGTACATCGAAAGCCGCTAAGGTCGTTGCTTACGCAGAGGACTTAGTCATTCTGGTCGTGGGAAAACTCCTCTCCAGCGAGATTCAACAATCTACAATTAACGATCTGTCAGAGTGGGCACAAAGAAACGGCCTAGGGGTCAATCCCGCTAAAACTGAACTTGTTCTCTTCACCAAGCGAAATAAAATAGACTATTTCCGACCTCCGTCCCTCAATGGAGCAAATTTCAAATTGTCAAAAGAAGCAAAGTTTTTGGGGGTTATTCTCGACTCTAAGCTTTCCTGGAAAAGGAACACCGAAGAGCGGAGAAAGAAGTCGCTCAATGCGCTCTACTCCTGCAAAGCTACTATTGGAAAAGACTGGGGTCTTCGACCGCAGATAATACATTGGATTTATACGGCGGTAGTTAGACCTATCCTCACCTATGGCGCACTGGTATGGTGACAGGCGGTTGACACCAAACCCCATCTACTCAACTTGCAAAAGGTGCAACGACAAGAATGCTTATGCTTAACGGGGGCGATTTATTCAACGCTCCACGCATCTCTAGAGACCCTGCTGGATATTCCACCTATAGACCTATATGTTAAAAGTATAGCAGCTAAAAACGCTCTACGACTCAGAGCGTCTAACAGGCTGCGAACAACTTGCAAAGGTCACGCCACAATCCTCGGGAGAGTGGGGGTGGAATACAGCCGCTGTGACCATCAGGTCACGGAAATTGACCTTGAGGGAACTGAACTTCGATATCCATTTTCCTGACAGAAGTGACTGGGAATTTAATATTGCTGTCAGCGATGACGAAATACCCATCTTCGCGGACGGCTCAAAAATGGATATCGGAACAGGGTCTGGGGTCTTCTCTCAGGACTTATCTCTGAGGGAGTCGTATAGACTCCCAGACCACTGCAGTGTTTTTCAGGCTGAGATATATGCAATCCATATGGCGGCAAGGTTGGTGGGCATGATTGACTTAGCTCCATCTAAACTTGCCTTCGCTGTTGACAGTCAGGTGGCTATCAAAGCCTTAGGGTCAGCAACGACTAACTTGTTATGCGTTAAAGAATGCCGAAGATCCCTATAAGCTCTACAGCAACACATAATCAATCTTTACTGGGTANCAGGTCACGGAAATTGACCTTGAGGGAACTGAACTTCGATATCCATTTTCCTGACAGAAGTGACTGGGAATTTAATATTGCTGTCAGCGATGACGAAATACCCATCTTCGCGGACGGCTCAAAAATGGATATCGGAACAGGGTCTGGGGTCTTCTCTCAGGACTTATCTCTGAGGGAGTCGTATAGACTCCCAGACCACTGCAGTGTTTTTTAGGCTGAGATATATGCAATCCATATGGCGGCAAGGTTGGTGGGCATGATTGACTTAGCTCCATCTAAACTTGCCTTCGCTGTTGACAGTCAGGTGGCTATCAAAGCCTTAGGGTCAGCAACGACTAACTTGTTATGCGTTAAAGAATGCCGAAGATCCCTATAAGCTCTACAGCAACACATAATCAATCTTTACTGGGTACCGGGAAATGAGGAAGCGGACGAATGTGCTAGGAAGGGATCTGAGATGGGGCTCGGGGAAGCGACTCAAATCGTGAAACCCCCCCTGCGATTTCTGTCCTCAGAAGTCGAGAGACTGACCAGGGCAGCTACCAACAGTAGGTGGGTAAACCTTCACACCTGTAGGGTATCGCGATCATTCTGGCCACGGCTCGATGAACGAAGAACAAGGAGTCTATTAAGGCCTTCAAAGGCAAACGTCAGGCTTCTCACAGGAATACTAACGGGACAATGGACCATTCGCAACATGGCCGCCAGGTTCGGAGCCCCGCATAATGAGATCTGTGGAAGCTGCAGGGATGAGGAGGAGCTAGAATCCGTCCTGNAATGATTTCTGTGGAAGCTGCAGGGATGAGGAGGAGCTAGAATCCGTCCTGCACTTCCTTTGCGAGTGTCCAGCACTTCGAGGAAAACTCCTCAAGTTTCTTGTGGACCACTTCTTCGAGAATCTGGACATCTTGGGGAAAGCTCCTCTGGAAGGACTGCTAGGATTCGCCAGAAAATCAAAATGGTTCGAAGACATGTAGGGATAGGCTTGGGGTAACCCCATGGGCATCACAATGGGCCTCTGCGGCCTCCGAGTGAACTATTTTTCAGAGCTGCCCGTTAACCTTACCTAACCTAAGTATTTACTATCACTCGGCAAACAAATCGCTTTACCAAAAGTAATAGCACAAATAGAACAAATGGTACAGTCGTTAGAAAATTAAAAAGAAAAACAGATAGCAAGAAATAAACTCAGCAACAGAATACTTCAGTTCAAACGAAACATTAAACACCATTCCGCTGAAAAGTTCATTTTAGCAGAATCCAATACAACCAATTCGTTACACAAACTACACAAAAGCATTGTTAAAACCAACGCGGACACTGGAAACAAGACAGTAGCAATATATCTTTCTGAATACTTGAAGAAAATAAGCAATCTTCTAGAAGACAAAAATACGTGCAAAACAACAAGAACGGACCAAACAAACACTCTGCAAAGGAAAAACAACAATATAGTGGACGATCTCTACAAAAACAAATATATAAACCATGAATAATCTCAAAATTTGTTTTTGGAATGCGAACGGATTAACCCAGCATAAAAACGAACTAGAAATTTTTCTAGAACCTTACGCAATTATGTAACTTTCAAATTAACAGCCCTATCCTGTTTCCCTCACAAAAATCACCACACTCACTATGGTGAGGTTTCTGACTATTGTGAGCTCAGTATATCCAGTAAAAAAACTGTGGTGAAGTCCTTTATAGGGATAAAGTTTCCAGAGGTGAAATTTTAGGTAACGCACAATTTCATACATGCATGATTGCTTTTTAGCACCAATGAAAGAAACTTAAGAAATATTAAAAAAAAAAAGCGTATAGCGCATTAATTTTTGAAAGAAATACCATATAATGTACGTACTATAATTAATAATATTAAAAGAGTTATCAGAACCACCGTTTAATGTTATATTTGATACAAATTAATTTTGCTACTGACCCTCTGCGAATTGGCACTGAATAATAGTTTTACTTAAAATTACATCCCTGGTCCTTGTTCCTTCTGTATAGCGTTGTGGTGAGTTCGCATTTCTCAGAAATTTGACAACAAAACAAAGTGAAGGTAGTATCTTATTTGTTATATTTTATGTCTTTTTAGGATATGTTGAGGCAACAAAGAAAGCGCAGTTGGAAAATGAAGTTATTAGAATGAAGTAGCAGCGCAGGCACATTTGGAAAGTTATGCCAATAAGCAAGATGGAATTTGGGAAAGTAAGTGCCTGGTTGCAGCATATCTATGTATTAAAAAAGTATTTAATTAAATGAAATTGTGTTTAATAGAGATCTTATAAATCGAGTGGCGTTATTTAAGATGTGCTCCAAACATTTGGCGAACTTTTTTTTCGCTTTTTCAACGTGCTAAATTACAAGTTAAGATGACTGCCACCACGGCCGGTAAGAAGCCCGAAGCAAAGGGCAAACAACCTTCCAGGAAGCTGCATGCTGTCACCGAGTCGTAGCTGAAGTTCAGCAAGAAGCAGGTCAGCAAACGTGATACCCTTATCAAGTGTAAACTAAAGCACTATGCTGTGATTACACTCCGCACACGTGAAAACTAGGTGCACGCTGAGAAATATCAAGCCAAATATCCGTGATTAGGGTGGCCAGATATTATAGAGACATAATCAGTACAGTTGGGATCAAAAATCAGTACAAAGTCATAAAAATCAGCTCATTTTTAAGCCTATTTTTTATTATTAACAATATAACAACCAAATAACAGCGCATTAATTTAATAAAAAATAACTTATAGACTTTTAAATACATATAGTATTATCAATATAAAAATGCATTACTTTAAAACAAGTCACAGGTATTACGTATGTATGTACAGCTGTGCTCAGGAAAATATGAGTAAAATGTATTGACAGGTGTTGAAATTTTTTATTTATTTTTCCTTACTTAATTTAAATTTTTTATAAAAATGTAGCTAATTCTATAACAAAAGACATGTCTCAAACTTTCTAGAAAATTTATAAAAATTGAGAAAAAAAATAAAAAATTTGTAGCCCATTCAGTTTCAGTAGAAGCCGAGCTCGAGTCAGAATCTGTTTGCTTATTTTAAGCAACAAATTTAAAACTTATTTAGTTGGTGTGCTTATTAAATACAACATTCACATTAAAATGTTGCCTAAAAGGTATATTACCGAATTATCGGTAAACGAATTTTCGAGTACGAATGACATTTAATAGTGTTAAATGTGTATGTGCAAGTNGGTAAACGAATTTTCGAGTACGAATGAAATTTAATAGTGTTAAATGTGTATGTGCAAGTAAAATTACAGGTGGTAGAAGATCAGAAATCAAAGTAAAGCTATATGTATCATATTCAAGAGTCGGTAGTTTGCACCATTTCCAAATTGTTAGAACTTACATTGCACCGTAGCAGTAGTCGTCTTAAGTTTGAAATACTGACAGCCGATTTCTCAGTGGATGTTTAATTATAATCAAAAGATTATCTCTTATTGTCATCTTCTCAGTGTACTTAATATATGATTAACTCACCACCACCTTTCATAAGATTTATTAATGGTGAAACCAGCTTTTCCTGTAAATCCTGTAAAACCTGCAAATCGTGATTGCAAATCGGGTTGGGTTGAATCCAAACAGTTTGTTATTTTCGAAATCCTAGGAAACGAATCAATTGCAAGCTGACACAATTTTAATAATGGTTTAAATTTAATTAATGCTTTCAATCTGCAATTACACCAATTTACAAAAGTATTTATTAAATGTAAAAATCAGTACAAAATCAGTACAAACTCAAAAAATCAGTAGATTTTGCGTACTGATTTCGGCCTCTTAAAAATCAATACAATGGAAAAAAATCAGCACATGTACTGATTATATCAGCGCATCTGGCCACCCTATCCGTGATAGACGCAGTGAGAATAAGTTGCGCCGTCTGGCAAGGAAACGCGGCTCATTCTACGTGCCTGCAGAAGACAAATTGGCTTTTGTGATCTGTATCCGTGGTATCAACAAAGTTGCACCAAAAGTGCGTAAAGTTTTACTGTTGTTCCGTTTTCGACACATTAACCACGGTTGTTCATCAAATTGAACCATTAATATGCTATGCATTGCCGAACCCTATATATCACAAGGGGTTATACAAAACTTAAATCAGTTCGTGAATCTACAAACGTGGAATTGTCAAGCACAACCATCAACGTGTCCCAATCTCTGACAACTTTGTGATCGAACGCAAATTGCGCAAAGTTGATTATTTGGCGCACGAAATATTCACTGTTGGATCTCACTTCAAGAAAGCTTGCAATTTCCTGTGGCCATTCAAGCTCAACACAGCCGATTTTTATTGAGCAATTAAAATGTTTTGTTAATTTTCGTTCGCTATCAGTGTCTGTGTTGATTTTTTTAAATTATAAGTATATCTAGTAATGGCGGAGTTATTGCTTGTTTTTACGGCAGTTTTGGGAGAGCACCAAGTTGTGGACTGCAAACTATGTGAAGTATTGGAGCGGCTCCTGCGTTGTTATTTATTTTTAAATTTGTCTAGAAAAAAATAAAAATAAAAAAAAATTACAAATAGCAAAAATATTTACTTTTCCTATTGTTCAGCATCCATTTGCTTTTATTTTTTTTACGAAACAGCTGTTAGACAGGCAAACGCTTTTCACCTCGTGTGGTAGTTTTGTTGAGCTTTTTTCTTATGAGGTCCGGCCAAGAATAACCACACAAAATAGACCTCGCAAGCAGTGTTGCCGTTTTAGCTCTTTGGGGGCTAGATTTAGCTACCACATACTTTTTTTGGCCACATAAATTCAAAATTGTCCCTAGCCCTTTTTTTTAGCCCTTTGGAGAATTTATTCATATTTGGCATGAAAAAGTTGTATATGCTTAATTTGATCTTTTTTTTTTATTTATGTAAGATATGAATTTTTACATTAAGAAGGACTGATATATATACATAGATGTATTGTATGTTCCTTACGTTTTTATACATACATACTCTAAAAGTGTTAGGGCTGTTTACTTATCTATAGTTTAGNGCGCAAAGTTGATTATTTGGCGCACGAAATATTCACTGTTGGATCTCACTTCAAGAAAGCTTGCAATTTCCTGTGGCCATTCAAGCTCAACACAGCCGATTTTTATTGAGCAATTAAAATGTTTTGTTAATTTTCGTTCGCTATCAGTGTCTGTGTTGATTTTTTTAAATTATAAGTATATCTAGTAATGGCGGAGTTATTGCTTGTTTTTACGGCAGTTTTGGGAGAGCACCAAGTTGTGGACTGCAAACTATGTGAAGTATTGGAGCGGCTCCTGCGTTGTTATTTATTTTTAAATTTGTCTAGAAAAAAAATAAAAATAAATTACAAATAGCAAAAATATTTACTTTTCCTATTGTTCAGCATCCATTTGTTTTTATTTTTTTTACGAAACAGCTGTTAGACAGGCAAACGCTTTTCACCTCGTGTGGTAGTTTTGTTGAGCTTTTTTCTTATGAGGTCCGGCCAAGAATAACCACACAAAATAGACCTCGCAAGCAGTGTTGCCGTTTTAGCTCTTTGGGGGCTAGATTTAGCTACCACATACTTTTTTTGGCCACATAAATTCAAAATTGTCCCTAGCCCTTTTTTTTAGCCCTTTGGAGAATTTATTCATATTTGGCATGAAAAAGTTGTATATGCTTAATTTGATCTTTTTTTTTTATTTATGTAAGATATGAATTTTTACATTAAGAAGGACTGATATATATACATAGATGTATTGTATGTTCCTTACGTTTTTATACATACATACTGTAAAAGTGTTAGGGCTGTTTACTTATCTATTAGCGGTTTAACTATAGTTTAAAATAGATAAGTTTAAGGCCCTTAATATGCTTAATTTGTTTAATGGCCCATCAGGGCGATTAACCATGTATGTTCTTGTGGTGTGATTGTACCTGCTACTGGTGCGACTTCAAAAACTATTTGAAAATTTTATGATTGTACCAACATGCTGGTGTCGAGAGTGGTGAAAGCAGCTCAATTTTCTAAGTAAAAAGTATTTTGGCGGAAATTTCTTGCACTATATGAGTCAAAGCCGTGTTTGTGGAAGATTAAGTTCACGATATTGCAGTTGTGAATTAAAAACAAAAAATAATGTTTAAGAAAGTGGTAGAAAAATTGTGAAATTTCGGCTCTAATCTNTTTCCTATTGTTCAGCATCCATTTGTTTTTATTTTTTTTACGAAACAGCTGTTAGACAGGCAAACGCTTTTCACCTCGTGTGGTAGTTTTGTTGAGCTTTTTTCTTATGAGGTCCGGCCAAGAATAACCACACAAAATAGACCTCGCAAGCAGTGTTGCCGTTTTAGCTCTTTGGGGGCTAGATTTAGCTACCACATACTTTTTTTGGCCACATAAATTCAAAATTGTCCCTAGCCCTTTTTTTTAGCCCTTTGGAGAATTTATTCATACTTGGCATGAAAAAGTTGTATATGCTTAATTTGATCTTTTTTTTTATTTATGTAAGATATGAATTTTTACATTAAGAAGGACTGATATATATACATAGATGTATTGTATGTTCCTTACGTTTTTATACATACATACTCTAAAAGTGTTAGGGCTGTTTACTTATCTATAGTTTATTAACTATAGTTTAAAATAGATAAGTTTAAGGCCCTTAATATGCTTAATTTGTTTAATGGCCCATCAGGGCGATTAACCATGTATGTTCTTGTGGTGTGATTGTACCTGCTACTGGTGCGACTTCAAAAACTATTTGAAAATTTTATGATTGTACCAACATGCTGGTGTCGAGAGTGGTGAAAGCAGCTCAATTTTCTAAGTAAAAAGTATTTTGGCGGAAATTTCTTGCACTTGTCAAAGCCGTGTNTGGATAAAATATTAGCTTTTTTCCAGAGTTAATTGTTTTTCTATACCATTACTGATTGAAAATGTTTGTGAGTATACTTATATGTATATGTAAGTAAAAGTTTTTAGCTACCATTTTTAGCCATAACGACTTTTTTAGCTCCTTTTTAGCCCTTTTTTTAAAGGAATTTGGCTACCACTATAAATGAGCCGCGGCAACACTGCTCGCAAGAGATCTCACAATTTTTTTATCTCAACTCAGNTTTTTACATTAAGAAGGACTGATATATATACATAGATGTATTGTATGTTCCTTACGTTTTTATACATACATACTGTAAAAGTGTTAGGGCTGTTTACTTATCTATTAGCGGTTTAACTATAGTTTAAAATAGATAAGTTTAAGGCCCTTAATATGCTTAATTTGTTTAATGGCCCATCAGGGCGATTAACCATGTATGTTCTTGTGGTGTGATTGTACCTGCTACTGGTGCGACTTCAAAAACTATTTGAAAATTTTATGATTTCAATTTTCTAAGTAAAAAGTATTTTGGCGGAAATTTCTTGCACTATATGAGTCAAAGCCGTGTTTGTGGAAGATTAAGTTCACGATATTGCAGTTGTGAATTAAAAACAAAAAATAATGTTTAAGAAAGTGGTAGAAAAATTGTGAAATTTCGGCTCTAATCTTTTCGATCTTTCCTCGACCTCATTTGTAAAGAAATAAATATTGTACCAGCATGCTGGTAAGTTATATGTTTCGAGCCTGATGGTACAATCACTTGATGGAGCCAGCAAGCTGGTGTCG